TTCACCTAAAGTACAATAAAAATAAATAAATAAAAAATTACAGCTTTTAAAAATGAAAAAAGAAGAGTAGCCTTCATTCTCTAAAAAACTGCAAATCTGGGCTGAGCTGTCAGAGATGAAGCTATGTGTGACTTTTGAAGCAGTGCCCGAAGGCAGCAAACGGGGCAAGCTGTGCAAAGCCGGGCTTCCTGTATTCCACTGCAACAGAAGGGAGATGCAGCAGTCGACTTGAGGGTCCACTTAATATATGTATTCAACTCAACGACATTGGTCATAAACTTGAGCAGGTAATGTATTAAAAGACACAAAAATACTACTCTTATTTAAACATGTTTGCTGAGTTGTATGTTGTTAAATGCTAAATAAAAGATATCTTTTGTGTTTAAAATATCATTTAGATTTTTCTCATGTCTTTTGAGTCTAACTTTGACCTTTTCTGATAATTATTAGTCTGTGAGACCATTTTTGCTGCCTACTGTGATTAAAGCATTATAGACCATGAGAAGCTATTGGTATTTGGTATTCTCTTGACATTTCTGTTCTGTAGTTAAATAGGTTAGGAAAAAGGTGGGCGGCCATTTCATTTTTAATTCAATCACATTAAAAAATAATCTTGGAATGTGGAAAACCTCTCTAAGCCTGATACAAAACTCACAAGGTATACAGTAAAATATTTGCCTATTTAAAAAATATTGTAAGGCACGAAAAATAGAAAAGTGTAAACAAAATTTATAAAAAAAAAAAAAAGAATGATCGATTAGGAAACTGGGCTAATTTCTTTAATAGACAAAGTTGTTGTTGTTAGGTGCTGTCGAGTCTGCTCCGATTCATAGCAACCCCAAATATAACAGAATGAAACGTTGCCCAGTCCTGCGCCAGCCTCACAATCTTTCCTGTATTTGAGCCCATTGTTGTAGCCACTGTGCCAATCGATCTTGTTGAGGGTCTTCCTCTTTTTTGCCGACCCTCTACTTTACCAAGCATAATGTCCTTCTCCAGGGACTGGTTCCTCCTGATAACATGTCCAAAGTATGTGAGACGAAGTTTCTACATCCTTGCTTCTAAGGAGCATTCTGGCTGTACTTTCTTCAAGGTAGTTTTTTTCTTTGTTCTTCTGGCAGTCCATGGTATGTTCGATATTCTTTGCCAACACAGTAATTCGAATGTGTCAATTCTATCAATCGACTCCAAGGCGACTGACAACAACATAGAATCAATAAATTGGGTTTTTGTAGGGCATGTACAAAACAGGTAGATACGAGATCCCGGGGGAGAGCAGACAGTTTGCCCTTGGCTGCTAATGGAAAGCCACCTTAGAAGAAAGGTCTGCTCTTGGTGATCTACTTCCCTAAGATCAACCCAGAACCAAACTTGTTGTCCTTGAGTTGACTTATGGCAACCCCATGTGTTGCAGAGTAGAACTGTACTCCATAGGCTTTTCAAGGCTGTCACCTTTCAGAAGCAGATTGCCAGGCCTTTTTTCCAAGTTGCCTCTAGGTGGGTTTGAACCACTAACCTTTCCGTTCGTAACTGAGTACTTAACCATTTACACCACCCAAGGACTCCTTCGTAATAGCACAGCCATTGTGAACCCTATGCAGTGTAGTTCTACCCTGACACACGCGGGGTTGCCTCGGGTAGGAATGACTCAATGGCATTGGGTTTAGTTTTTTGGTTTTAGGGCCCCTGCCTCTAATGCTAAGTTGACAATGTACTCTGATTGCTGCTCTCTGGTCAGCCTAAAGAACTCGGGAAAGAACTTGGTCAAAATACTCCTTTGCCTTTGCATTTCTGCTCTTTTGCCTGGCATGTCCTTTCTGCCCTGAATTTCATCCCCCCTCCTTCCTAAATCCTACTTGACAAGGTTCCTGCACTCTTAAACAAAATCCCACCGCCGCGAGTCGATTCCAGCCCTAAAGGACAGAGTAGAACTGCCCCATAGGGTTTTTAAGGTTGTAATCTTCACAGAAGCCAACTGCCACATCTTTCTCCCAAGGAGCAGTTGGTGGGTTCGAACCGCCAACATTATCGTAGCAACTGACTGCTTTAGCCACTTCGCAACCAGGGCCCCTTAGAACTTACTTTGTAATGGGAGGAGACTCATAATAAACAAGTAAGCACTCAATACGTAGATAATTTCAGATTATGATACATGTTATGAAAAAAGAAATTAAGGCAATAAATAGGAGAGAACGTGTGGAGGGCGCTGTTTCAAGTAGCCCTGGCCTGACAAAAGCTGTCTGCTTAGGGGCCACTTGGACTGAGCCCTGAGGAATGAGGAAGGCGCTTCCAGAGAGAGGAAAAGCTAAGGCCCTGCAGCAGAAAAGAGCTGGGCGTCCTGGAGAAACGGAAAGGCCAGTTGGCTGGGCAGCGCGAGCCAAGGGTGGGTGGTGTGAAATGAAAACAGAAGAGGCGGGGCCAGAGCCTCCACGGTGAGGAGTTCAGATTTAATTCCAATGGGGATGGGAAACCATTTGGATTTTAAAGCCGAATTGCTGTGGGCACGTGCACTCTAGTAGCCTGTGGGAGACGGTGCCTCCGCAGGTCTTCTCCAAGCCCCCAGGCTGGCTTAGGCCCCCACCCTGGCGTGTAAGTTATAGGACCAGCTTTGCCTCTATGCCGTCATCGCCCGTTTATGTGGCTGCCTCTTCTCCAGACTCTGGGCACAGCGGAAGCCCTGGGCGGGGTAACCCTGCACGCAGCCCCTCTCCCGACCCTCTGGGCGCACCGCCAGCGTCAGCCGCGGAGGGGTTCAGTAATTGCACAGAGCGGCTATGGAGAGGCTTGCGCAGGACTTTCCCCCTGGAAGCCTGGCCTCCCGCTTGGCGGAGGCTGGCTTAGGACGCGGCGGGCGCACGTGGCCCAGGAGTGTGGTTTTCCGGACAGGTGGAGAGGCCGCCGCGTTCTCGCCCGGGCATACGGCACCCCGCACCCGCTTGGGCTGACTTCCGGGGCCGCCCGAGTGGCATGGGGCCTGGTCAAGGGACGGGGACGGCGCAGAGTGCCGGGGAGCCCCCAGGCGTGGGCGCGGGCCTGGCGCACCAAGGCGCTTCCCGGCGGCTGGCCCGGGGCGTGCTGGCGCGTAGAGCGGAAGAAGGACTCGCTCGCCGCACCACTCGGAGGAAGTGTTTTTTGGGCTCTGGGGCTCAATTTGCTCATATAAACAATGGGACTGAAATAAACAGACGGGGAAGCGCTTTGCAAACTTGGACACCACGTCTCAAGTTAGGCGTTTTGTTCATTTTCTCCTCTGCTCCCTTTGAAAGCCCAGAGGGCTTGAGTAAGCAGGCGGCCCAACCCCGACTTGGTCCCATAGCACAGTCACCGCACTGGATCCTGCGTCCCCAGAGGCCTGGAAGGGCCGCAAAAACCCCCGGGGGTGCGGTTACTGGCCGGGTCACATGACTCCCTCCGGCCACCCCGGGCTCGGGGACAGCGAGCAAGCGGGCATGCGCACTTTTTTTTTATATATATATATATAAATACATATACATATATTTCTCGTTTGGCTCGGACGCAACTACTGTTAGCTCCTCCCCCTCCACCCTCTTCATCCTTCCTGACGCTTACTCTGCTCCCCCCGCCCACTGATTACGTCATGCAGACAGGTCCCTGAGCCAATCGCCGCGCTGTGTCCAGAGTCCCGGCACGCGGAACCGGTCGGATCGGACCAATGGGGGCCCTTGGAGCGGGGGCGCCGCAGCGGGGCAGGAGAGCGGGGCCCGGGGGGGCGGTGCTTCTCCAGTCAGCATGTGGGCGGGGGAGGGCGGGGACCAGCAGCCGCAGAGGCGTCGACGGCGGCGGCG